TCATTCCAGCATTTTCGGAGTTAACAATGGCAATTTTTTTCTTGGTGTTATTTTTCATTGCAGTTATATCTCCTACCCTGACATCTATGCCTTTGGATTTGTCGTTTTTTATAGTTCCGATAAACTCTTTGTCTTCTTCAATGAATCAAGTGTAATCAATCATAAATAATTCATTTTCTAGTTGAAGAACTTTTGCTAAAAAATGGTGCTGGGAACTGCCCTCTCAATCTACCAAAATTATATCTCTTAAATTTTGGCATTTTTCTAATTGGTTAATGGAACCTCTAATTATCCCCTCGGCTAATTTTTCTGAGCTACAAGAGCCTCGATAAATTTCTCCTCCAATCAGACAAATGGCTAGTTCATCAATTGCTTCTTGTCCTTCTCGGTCGGCTAGAATAATTGAGTTTTGTGCCGCTTTGACCGCTATCTCAATAAACTCTTCATCGCTGGCACAACTGCTTCTAGGTCGAGGAACGGCATGAATAATGTAATTAATTCCTCGATTTTTAAGACTCGAATGGTTTCCAGTATTGGTTAAAAGTGCCGAACCATCCGGCATTTGACTACTATTTTTTTTAACTTCTGTCCCTATTGAGGAAATTTTCAAAGATGGGTTAACTTTATCTTCTGGTTCTTGCCCGGTTTTTACCAGAGCGGAATAATTATTACTCATAATGTTCTATTATTAAGTTATATTTTAACTTTTCTTGGCAAGAAGTGAGAGGAAACAAGCACTAGTCGGAGCGAATTCTCTACGAGGATAGTATTTTCACTTACCACCAAAGTAAAATTATTTTAAATGGCAAAAAGTAAACTTCTCCTTAACTATTATTATCAGCAGGAACTAAAACGACAAAAAGGCACTCTCAATTTAATCGCCAGTGAAAATTATCCTTCTCAAAAAGTTTTGTTTTATAGTGGATCGCTATTAATGAATAAATACTCTGAGGGGTATCCTAATAGTCGTTATTATCAAGGTTGTAAGTATATTAATAAAATTGAAAATTTGGCAATAGAACTAGTTCAAAAATTATTTGGGGTTGAATATGCTAACGTTCAACCTCACTCGGGAGCCCAAGCTAACCAGGCAGTTTATTCAGCCCTTTTAAAACCAGGAGACAAAATACTAAGTTTAAATCTTTTATCTGGCGGACACTTGACCCATGGGGCAAAAATTAATTTTTCAGGAATTTTTTATCAAGTTTACCATTACAACTTAAACCAATCTACACAAAAATTAGACTACCAAAAAATTAAAGAACTCGCCCAAATGGTTCAGCCCAAGTTAATTATTACCGGTTATAGCAGTTATAGTTTAAAGATAGATTTTGCCAAATTTCGGCAAATCGCTGACCTAGTTGGAGCTTATTTATTAGCCGATATCGCTCATGTAGCAGGGTTGGTAGCGACTGGCTTATTTCCCAACCCAGTTCCTTATGCGGACGTAATTACTCTTACTACTCATAAAACTTTGCAGGGACCGCGAGGAGGAATAATTTTAGCCAAAAAAAATTTAGGAAAATTACTTGATCGTGCCGTCTTTCCTGGTAATCAAGGGGGCTCTAACCAGGCTATTATTGCTGCCAAAGTTCAGTGTTTTTGAGAAGCACTGCAACCCAAATTTAAAGCATATCAAAAAGCAGTTTTAGAAAATGCGAAAAGTATGGCGGACTACTTTTTAACCAAAGGAATAAAAGTAATTAGCGGTGGCACTGAAACCCATTTACTAACTATTGATACTAAAACTAGTTATAATTTAACCGGTAAGGAAGCCGCCGAAGGATTGGAAAAAGTGGGAATTATTTGTAATAAGCAAATGATACCATATGACACCGAAAAGCCTTCGGTTAGTAGTGGTATTAGGTTGGGTTCACCAGCTTTAACCACCCGCGGACTGGGAAAAAAGGAGTTTTGGGAGATAGCAGAAATGATTGATTTGACTTTACGAAATTATAAGGATAAAAAAATAATAAAAGATGCGAAAGATAAAGTTAATTATTTAAGTAAAAAATTTCCTCTACTATTAGAGTAAAAATTGCGACCGATTATTGGCAGTTAATTACTTGCTAAAACTTTTGACCAATTAAGAGAATGAACAAAAAAAATATGAAAAGAACAAACTGAATACAAATCTTTTACTATACAAAAATTAATTCGCGGGATGACCTAGTAAATAGTTCATAACCATTTTTGGTGACTAAAATATCATCCTCAATTCTCACTCCTCCTAATTCTGGAATATAAATGCCGGGTTCAATGGTAATAACCATGCCGGGTTGTAGTATAGTGTTGTCTTGTGAAGAAACATAAGGTCTTTCGTGAACTTCAATACCTAAGCCGTGACCAGTACCATGACCAAAATATTCTCCATAGCCTTTTTGTTGAATATAATCTCGAACAATTTGGTCGATTTCGCTACCTTTAACTCCGGGCTTGACCGCTTGAATACCTTTTC